GCCAGTGAGAAACAGACATTTACAGTTAAATAAATAATAAAAACTGCGTTAACGGCGTTAAAATAATTGTCAGCGTTAATGACTTAATTAGTTAACGCAAAATTAATGTATTGTAATGTGTTGCCCTAAAAATAATTTTACAAAATTGTTTACAAAAACAGCTGTCTTTTGAATAGTTTGGACAGAGGAGACTTCAGCTAATCTGGTTTTATGTTTCATTTTTTATGATTTGTTCAGACTAGGTAAGGTGACGTCAAGGTACACTTTATTGACATCCTTCTATGCAACTGGTGAGGAGAAAAGGAAGTCCAAGAGCAGGCAAGGCAAGTTTTTTTGAATAGCACAATTTGTACACAAAGTAATTCAAAGTGCTTTACAGAATGAGAATTACATTAAAATCACAGTACAAACAAAACAAAACCAATCATTATAAAATTAAAAACAGAGATACATTATACTAGAGAGAAGAATGCAGAATGAAAACCTTTCAGTCATATGCAGCTGAGCAGAACTGTTTTCAGCCTGGATTTAAACAGAGTCAAAGTAGAGGCCTGTCGCAAATGTTTAGGAAGACTGTTCCAGGTTTTAGCTGCATGAATCTGAAACACTGACTCCCTGTGTTTAGTCCTGACTCTGGGCACGAGCAGGAGGTCGGTCCCTGAGCTCCTCAGAGTGTGAGATGGTTCAAATGATCAGAGATGTAATTTGGTGCTCGGCCATGGAGAGACTTATATACAAGGGGATCTGCTTTAAAGTCTATTCTCTGAGCCACAGGGAGCAGTGCAGAGACCTGAGCACAAGACCTATGTGCTCATACTTCCTGGTTCGAGTCAGCACCTGAGCTGTAGCATTCTGGATGTTCTGCCGACCATTACAGTAATCTAATCTACTGGAGACACACTGATGGCCAAGTCTCTCCAAGTCTGCTTTTGACAGTATATCTTTGATTTTTGCTATGCTTTTAGATGGTAGCATCCTGGTACTCTTCTCCTGATCTTGCTTGGTCAGAAGTATCTAGCTGCAAGGGTATAAAGTAATACTAATATTATTAATAAAACTAATATTCACTCTACTCACATTACTGAACTTGAGTACTTTTTTTGGGAGTAATTGTACTTTTTTGGAGTATATTTTAAACCTGTCCTTGTTTTTGAAGATCATTCAAGCCACGTCTTTCCGATTACATTTTAAATCATTGGAATTTCTAAATACAGCTCAAGTCCCATTTGTCCCCAGGCACTGCTGTCTTTGCTCTCCTAAACCCACCAACAGCTTCTCCTGCTCCTATTGGCCAGAGCTTAGAGAATATGCAGCGTGTGGTGATTAAATTAAGTTTTACTCTTTCTCAATGCGTACTTTTTACTCTTAATCAAGCCCAATCTGGGCAGCAGTACTTGTAATTGAGTACGTTTTAGCATAATGTAACTGTACTAGAGAGCACATTTTCAGTTCTCTTTCCGCACGGCCTAGCTGAACGATTAGGCTATTGTGCATGTTTTAAGTGCATTGGGTAAATTGAAGCTACTGTAAAGCAAATGGGTTCTTAGCTTCGAGTTAGTTCCCTCATAATGCGTACACGATGTTGAAAAGCAGAGTGTTTTCATGACCTCTCCTCTGGACTAATGTGTTCTGGTTTGATGGCTTGAAATCTTCCAACAGTCATACGAGACACTTGTCCTAATGCAGTTTGACAGACGTACTTCCTGTGTCTTCAATGCTGGCTCTTTTGGCTCTTGAGTGTCCATCTGTCTCCCTATGTATTGTACGGATGTCTCCCCTTCTCTACCAATAACTGTATGATTGTTTCCAGCAAAGGCCATGTTGAAAAGCATTAGCACGCTCTCAGCATTAGTGTTAGATTGTTGTCGCCGGATGTCTTTTGCTAATAGAACGATTTGTGGGTGTATTGTTCTTATTTAAAGTGGGTCTAAACACCAAACTGCATTGTGTTTTAAAGGGACAGTCCAGAATTTTGGACCTCATTTCCTAGTTCCAGAGTGTTGGAGATGTGTGGAGACATTTAAAAAAAAAAAAATTCCATCCAGTCCTTGTATTTGCAGAGGTCGCTGGTGCTAGGCTAGTGCGTGTCAATGGCCATAGTTATCCTGCCACAAAAAACACCTGTGGTCTTACCCACTCCACAAAACACCTTAAGCAAATCTATTATTACACCAAACTGTCGATGTGAATGTCTGTGTTGATAGAATAATTTTAAAAGTAAAACTAACCTTGCATTTGAAGGATTTATGTCTGAGCAGCAGCAGTGAGTTGTACTTCATGATAAAAAGCTTGGCAGCAGTGGACTGATATATGAGAAAATAGTCCCTCAGCATTCGATGATTCATGCGATGCAAGGTTACTTTTATTTCAAACATTATTCTACCAAGACAGACATTTATATTGACAGTCTGGTGTATTAATAGATTTTCTTCGAGTCCTTTGTGGAGTGGGTACGACTGTTTTTAGTGGCAGGATAACTATGGCCATTGACACGCACTAGCCTAGCATCAGCGACCTCTGCAAATACAAGGACTGGATGGAATATTTTAAAAAGTGTCTCCACACGTCTCCAACACTCTGGCTCACTAGGAAATAAGGCCCTATGTCCAAAATTCCAGATTGTCCCTTTAATAACATTTGCTTGTGTCCCTTGTTATTATTATTATTATTATTATTAGTAATTTGTGCGCAAACTAGGTAAATTTGCAGCTTTCTGCTTAAAAATATTCATGTGCTACCTCCAGGGGCCACTGTATTTCAAGGACTATGTGACATCACACTCACTCACCCCTCTATAGGGTTCCCATGGTCATGGAAATCCAGAAAAAGGAAATGTTATTTTCTAGGCCTGGAATTTTAGTATGTCTTTCATGCAACTTACAGCATTCTGTTAGTTCTCATTAGACTTTTACGATTATTTCCAAACATATGAGAATTTTGATTAAAAGAGAGAACAATAAATGCACTGACAGTATTTTGAATGTTAAAAAACTATAATACCAAACCATAAGGTGAGTGGAAAGGGTTAACATCTCATATTTAGCCCTGAAAAAAATGCTAAATTACACACATGTAGATGCTAGTAAAGTGTTGGAAAATTAACTTTAGGTCATGAAAAAGTCATGGAAAAGGTTTGAAATTTTGTCAGTGAAAAAGAGTGGGAACCCTGCCTCTAGACCCCCAGTCCTGTCAATGACAGAGTGCTATTTATTATTCAGTGTATTTATTTGTTGGTTCCACTTTATAATAATGTAATGTCTTTTTTCCCATTTTTAATATTCTGGCACAGACAACCTAGCTCATTTTTAAATTGTTCAATTGAACTGATTTTTTTTTGCTACCTGTCGCCCAACATCAAGTGAAACATGAAATAGAACTAAAAATTCCCTTTTATAATGCCTATCAGAACGCCTGTCTGTGGAATCTCCATATGTCTTCTTGATTAGTGTCAAAGGTCCACTCTTCAGGCTCATTATTTTGGAGCACTGTAATTAGTTTGTAACGATCTATTGATTCAAGTCTTTATATTCTGGGCATATTATATGAAGCGTGCAACGAAAAATCTACTGGGCAAGTATGCATTTTCTACAGTTTCAAATCACAATGTAAATGAAATAATGTGTAGAGAGCTGGCTGAGGGGAGGGGAAATGTTTTCAAATTTCGATTTTAGAATATTAATATTGTAGAAGACAATTCATGACCAATGAGACAATTAATAGTCCAATGAGATTCATTTGGTCTTCCGATATTCTATGTTATTAGGTTCTTTTTTTTTTCAGACCTAGAGTGTTATTTCATACCTGACAGTTTCGACTGCTCACTAGCGTCTTCCTCAGAGTGGTCACGTGATGTTGCTGTGACGTGTCTGGTCAGCTGATTTAAACAGGTTTTGGCGCCGTCTTCCTACCGGTGGAGGCAGGACGACAGCGCCATCTGTGACCACCCTGAGGAAGACGCTAGTGAGCAGTCGAAACTGTCAGGTATGAAATAACACTAGGTCTGAAAAAAAGAACCTAATAACATAGAATGAGACAATTAAGACTGATGAAATTAAATGAAATGAAATGAAAAACTACACCACTGAATTCTACAAGTGATGCATACAGCTGCTGATATTTCGCAACAGATATCAACATTCCCTGGGGAAGTTGATGCTAACTAGAAGCACTGCTCTGTCTGAAGCTTTATGGATCAAATTAGACTTTAATCAGATTTTTTTTTTTTTTTTATAAGCTGACCATAAAGAATTTAGACAGAACTATAAATTGTGCTGATTAGAGCTGGTTTTGTGCATTTAAATAAATCTCTCCCAAATAACAATAATGTAAGTGTCAAGTTAGCAGAGCCAACAGTTTTTTTTCAGTTAGTTACTCTCTTTTTTTGTTGAAAATAAAACACCTATGTTTCAATATTTTGTATTCGGAGGCCTTGTAGCATAGCACACTGGTTCAGGACACGTAACCTGCATTTGGCAGCCATGTGGAATTTTGTCAAAAATGCTGTCTTGGAATAAAGCAATGAAATGTGGCATGTTGATTCACACCAGGTCCATGATCACTTTGTCTTTTTTCTTGAATTTTCATATCTAAAAACGTATCAGGCTGTGTTTGCTAATGCGTGCATTGTGTCGCCATAGTAACTGCTGAACATTTTGCCATAGGCATACTGTACATGCTGCCCCCTAGTATAATGTCACTGCAAAGTATCAAAACTTTGAACCCTTGGGCAAGACACTTCACCTTACCAATATATGCATACATGTAGAGACAGGCTAATATTGACATTCTAAAGCATTTTAAACAAATTTAGTTGTAAACAATTCCCAGATATTCTAATTTTGTTAATCTCTAAAACAGCAATTTAATTTATCATTATACAATTTTTATAAACAATAAAATTCTGAGTATCATTTGAATGGTGCGTTGTGTAGCAAATACGCTGCGTAGTATTGTAGTAGCGGTGACTATGTAGTAATATGTAGTAATTACTTGTTAATAAGACGCAGTGTAATAATTATGGGCTAGTGACCAGAAGATAAGGTGCGGCTCAGGGAGAGAGGAGACAGAGACTGAATTAGATTTGCGGTACCATGTATTAAGACAAAACAATGACAAAAGACAATATATTAATGATTGCTGGAATGGCCATTCAGTAAAACCCAAACTTCACAATAATATAGTGAGGTAGTTATTACAAAGAACAATCAGTGTTGAGAGTCCAAAAAACAGATTGATCCAATTGCATAGGTCCAAAAAGTCACAGTTTGCCACGCACAGTTGGAGATATGGAACGTACGACCAGAGCGGGAGTTCAGGGGGATAAGTGTTCGTGAGGAGTGGCGGTGAATGGTGATTATTGGGGTTGGTCGTAGAGCCATTGCGTGGAAGGTGTGAGTTTTTAACGCTGGCTACAAGAGCCTCCTACCAGCCCGGACAGAGGAGTGGAGGTGTCGGGGTTCCTGGCAGGAGTGAGTTGAGTGTCAGGGTTGCGGATCAGAACCTGGGTTTATAGCTCACCATCTAAACCTGGCCTGTGCAAACAACAGGACCAAAGTAAAATCAACGTGCACAAATTCATGTATAAATATAATTAAATAACACTAGTTGTATTATAAAATATATAAATACTAATTAATATTCAAATATTGTACAATATACTAGACTTAAATTAATTAATCAAAATAATTAAAATGATTAATTAAAAATCCTTTCTGAATTAAAGTGCATGAAAAAAAACATTCAAATAGCCTAGCAGCTTTGGGTTTAAAGTGCTAAGTGCTAAAGGCATTTCAATAACTTAAGGCACAGTGTAAAGTTAAAAAACGCTACAAAGTGCAAAGTAAACAAGTGGACACTAAAAGAGAATAAAAGTAATCATTTGATGGTGATTACATATCAATTTGGACCACAATAGTGCAAAAGAAATAATTAGAAATTTGGCATAAATGAGGCTAGCCGGACCCACAGAAACAATAGGAGTGGCTAGGCTAAGCTAACCATACAAACGAACGGGAGACTCGGTGTGGCTTACCAATTCCGTGCGATCGTCACTGTACAGCTCGCTTGGGCACTCAAAGGGCAACGGTATTTGGCTCCTACAAGTTGACATTTAAAACTGTGAGTTTGGTAACTTGTCATCGCGTATTAAGGCAAATAGAAGCTTAAAAACATACCTGTAGCACGCGTTCGGTTATCTCTCTCGCGTCTGCCGCGCTTCCGGGGTTCGCGCTAATATAAGCTCCTAATTGGGCGGCCGCGGTCACGTGATCGGACGCACGCAAAAAGACACAACAGAGAGCAGGAGCAAGGCGAGAGAGTTTGTTGCTAAGGCGTTTTTTGTCACCCGCGTTACAGTTGTCATTACCATAATTCACTTGTCACATGTCAAACAGAACCACACATTTCCACATTTGTCATTGTTGCAAATTGACTCTAAGTAAATCTTATTGTTAGTACATTTTGTGTTAATTTGTCCTTCAACATGTGAATATGCCACTCACTTAAATATTCAAGATTTGACACTAATATTTGCCAGATTAGCATTTTAAGATAATTACGCATTCATCACTTTATGTACCTAATTGAAAATCTTTAAAGGTGCACAAAGTAACTTTCCTGGTAGAGAGTCTGCTACCTTTTTGTCTCCATGGAGATGTTACTGCTTTGTCTGGGGTGTTCCACAATATGGCATTAAACTTCCCTATCTCCAGGTAGACGAACCAGTGATGCCACATGGCCAGATCAGATCTGTGGAGAGGCAAGAGAGCTCACCAACAGAAAGGATGTTTCTGAATATATTTTTCGGACTATAAAGTGCACTTCAAATTCTTTAAGTTTCTCAAAATTCGACAGTGCACCTTATAATCCTCTACACCTTACTGTATGTATTAATTCTGGTTGTGCTTATTGACCTCGGACTGATTTTATGTGGTACATATCACTCAAACATCTGTCAAAATGTTTTAGTATGACTTTGGTAAGCTATGAAGCCATACCGCTTGATGGATTGTCGGAGCATTACGGCTACTGTAGTCAGGAGCCTCCTGGAGTCCAACAGAAGCTGACCACATCAGGGCACAAGGAGCGAGCAGTTGTTTTTTTTTTTTTTGTGTGTGTGTGTTGTTTTTTTTTTCAGCGCTTATAACTTATGCAGATTAGCCATGTGATTTTTAGTTTCATTTCTGTAAAGCGTAAACAAATGTGGCAAAGCTGCATCAAACACATTATTACTCCATGTATATTTGAGTCCTCCTTGTATAAAATAAATACAAATCCAAATTTAAATTATTCACCCACATTCACATTCATAATACACATTGACCAAGACAGGGAGGCAACGCCGGGTGATTTATGCCAAAATCTGCCAGTGGATCGTGGATGCCTGAGCTAAGGGATCAGTCTCATCCATTTGTTTTGGTTAATGCTCCTTATAATCCGGTGTGCTTTATAATCCACAAATACGGTAATTAAATGTAAAATGGATGAGTTTAAAGGGCTTGTATATATTTTTTCCTCCACGTATTTGAGCAAATTTGTTTTGTATACTGTATAAGCAGCTCTTAAGGTCAAAAGAAGTTCACTGTGTACTCTCCGTAAGGCAGGAAGAGCAATAACATTATCAACTCATAATGAACCAACCAATGCATTATTTATAACCCTTCAAACTCTGAAATGTTTTGATTTTATGACCTTTACACTTTGAAAATCCTGTTCTCTTGTCAAAATCATCACAGAATATGTTCAAAATCCGAAATATGAGCTCAAAGGTACGGGTATGTTTATCAAAAAGAAAATCAGAACAAGCATTATGAAATTTTGCATAACAGTTAAAGGGGTGGACCTCTGGAACAATTATATAGAAGACCTAAAATTGCACACCATTCTTTTCCATTTTAAATGTTTAACACTGGGAAGACACATGAAATTTGTACTATAGTACTTTGATATATGTTACTGCTTTATGAGTATGAATGGGTTTCAAGATGATCTATGCCAAAGATTTCAGTCTGTGTCTGTTTAAATATGATGGATGATGATGATGATGATGATGGAATTATGTTAGAATATACCTGTGACCCAAATAAATTAATCAATCAGTTGTTGTTAGAGCTACCTTGACGGCAAAACTGTACTCTTTTTTTTCCCTTCCTTTAGACCAGGGGTGGGCAAACTACGGCCCGGGGGCCATATACGGCCCTTTAAACCTTTTAATCCAGCCCGCTGAACTGGAATAAATTACAATAATAAACCTTGTTGATGTTTTATTTTTCCTGCATTTCCGGCGTTTCCCAGTAGATGGCGCACTATAAATATACATTGAGGTGCGACGTATTATATTGGCCGCAATGCTTTATGGGAAAGTGTTCTTACAGGAGTCATTTTCGGCGGAGTATTCGGACCATGAGTGTTCAAGACATAAAGCTGCACTGTTTCTATTTTGAGTGGGTAAAAAACAAAGAAAGACTTATAGATGCTGTGTAACAAATCTTAATGCATGGAACGTCCCGAGAGTCTGGTTTTACTCTATGCGTAGTTGTTTCCGTGCGTAACTTTGTGGTGTGGGCTCTGTTTGTCAATGAGACCAAACCGCTCACGATTCACGTTCGCCTGTGGTGTGCCATGGAGCAGATCTATTCACTTTTCATGTGTTCTGAATCTTACGTGTTAAAGTTGTAGTGCGCATCTTACATGAGCGTAAATATGAATGCAATGGAACCGAGCTCTTAACACGTCATGTCCTGTCTTCTGTCCGGCCCTTCAGTCAAATTTTAGGACCCTATGTGGCCCGTGAGCCAAAAAATTTGCCCACCCCTGCTTTAGACCAAATAAAGTCGAAACGCCACCCGTAACACCCCACATTGCCCTAGTCATTTTTGTGATTTTATTTCTTTTTTCAGCTCACCCCTCTTTTTTTTCCCTTCATTTAACAACATTCCACAGAACGTAGCCCGGTGTATCGGGAGCAGTGGGGATGTGTTGCCGTGACAGGCGCTTTGATGCTCGGTGCCGTGAGCCTGAACTCTCTGTGAACTGAAATATGGTGTATGTATTTAAAACTCACTTTCCCAGGGTGCTTTGCTGACTCAGGGTCTGCTACGGCTCAGAGAGATGTTCTGTACTGTGTAATCCACCACTACAGCCCTGACAGGAGGCTTCACGGATTATAACTCACTCTGACCCAGGTTACATTTACATAGAAGAATACATTATATTTTGAATGTTTTTTGTTTGTTTGTTTTTTTATTATTTGACAAATTACAATATAACATTTATTTTAATTGAATCATAAAAATGTGTTCCTTGCGTGTAAATGGTCCTTGTATTTTAGATGAATTTTTGTGCATTGATGATAGAGATAATGGGATTCCTTTTTTGGAACTCAACACTTTTTTTTAAATCCAACTTTTCTTCAGCCACTTGACTGATGTAAAACTATGATACATATTTGCCACTGGTATTATCCCATCAAATAAAACAATAACTGGTAAAAGATGTAGTCACATGCACTTTAAGTCTAACTGTAATAACTATAACTACCAAATTGAGACTGGACCTTGTGTGATGATTGAGAAAGTTTTTAGTTGCAGCCCTTAGTTTTTCTAATTCTATTAAGATCTTTAGCTTTTACCAATTGTGGATTTTACTTTCAAAATCAGAGATAAACAGGAACAGTGAAGACCCAGAAGTTAAAGGCCTTTTTTCTACCAAACTGAATAAACAAAAACAAAAATGCATTTAAGGTATGATCTTCGAAAAGCTATGTTTGACTCTTCGTCGTGTTCTCTTCTATTTAGACAAATACTGGAAAAAATAGCTAATTTACCTGACTTGTTTTGGTGGTATGTCAGGAGAAGAAGATATTTCGCTCCTTACGGTATATTTTTATTAGACAACACAAAATTCATTATAAAAATTAAGATAAAATGATAAAAGAATATAAGAAGAATATAAATAAATCAAATAAAAGATCAAATACATACATTGCATCAGGGGACACAATAGTAAAATTCCAGCTTTTATAAATTAAACAATACATCCTTGTAGTAATTATCATGGCAGGCGTATTTCCAGCTTCATTTTGATCATTTTCCCTCGGTTTGCACTTGAGGCACTGAACGACCCCCGTGTCACGCTTCTTGTCACAGGTCCGTAGAGTGTCCTTGTATTTCTTAATTACTGCTGCTAATATTACAAGTGACATTTAGATCCCTCCTCCCCCGCCTGAGCTTTTCTGACAAACCTGAATGAGCTACATCTGCGCAGGCCGGAGACGGGGGAAACCACCGTCGCTGCATGTTAATATGGAAGCGCGAGGCTACCGGGATACGCTAGGCTGGGCTACGAAGGCGCTTCTGGTCACGTTCCATCACTTAACCAGGCCAGGAGACTATTGATCACAGCTGACAGTCCCAAAAGGCCGGAGTATCTGAGAAAAAGCTGATAAGAAATGGCATTCCACTAATGAGTTGATAATGGCATTTGAAGATACTGACAGTGATAGGGTTTGAGCTTCTATAAGCTGTTCAAATCATCTTAAAGTACCATATTTTTCAGACTATAAGTCGCTCTAGAGTATATGTCACACCAGCCAAAAAATGCGTAATGAAGAAGAAAATAATATATATAAGTCACACCGGACTATAAGTCGCTTTTTGGGGGAAATTTATTTATTTATTTATTTTATTCTCCATCCCCGCATTTTCACCAGTCCCACACAAGTTTCTCACTCACTCCAAACTTTCTTTCTGCTGCACAGTTACAGTTTTCGGCTACTTGCAGCAGGATAATGGCTCTTTCTGCAGGAGACCTACGCAGTAGAGTGAAGTGACAGTGGTACAGGAGTAATAGGAGTTGCAGATACTGACCCACAAGCAAGTCACACTGGAGTATAAGTCACAGGACCACCCAAACCATGAAAAAAGTGCAACTTATAGTCTGAAAAATATGGCAAGTTAGGCATCAATATTATGTGGTCGATATAAAGTGTTTGGTGGAATACTGTACTTGAAGTTTGAAAGCTTGCTATATTATAACATTTGTACTGTTTTTGTTCCCAACAAATCATCAAAATGTGTGTGTATGAACCTGTAGTTACTGATCAGTAGATGGAGCCAGCCCGAGATGATGTAAACCCCCCTCATCTGCCTTGTCTTGTCTTCTGCTTCCAGGGTTGTGGCTTAAAGGCCCGATATTACACAAATTAGTTTTTATGTATTATCGCAGTACA